CAACTCCAATCTTGCTTTTTCAGCTGGAGATATTTGGACTGTACCCACTATTTCGCCATCATGCCTGTGACATGAAACTATGAGAGTTAATAGTATAATTCTCTCAAATTTTTCAAAAGTCGTACAGGGCACCAATAAGGCGATGCAGCGAATAAAGAAATCTTTTATTGATACATTTTCTGCATTAAAACATTTCAGCCGCAAAAAATATAGCAATCAAATGAGCCACATCTATCCTTACAAATGTGGTTGCAGGTCGACTTTTCCGATTTTCCCTCAGTGCCAAGAAGCATTCTCGACAATAATCATTGATAGTTAGACTATTCAACGACAAGCACACACCTCCTAGCAATGCATAGGAATAATCACAAACTGTTTGTTTGGGTATCATGCCGACTTGGACTAACCATGAATTGAGTCAAAATACAATCGTATTCGTGTCCAAAGCGGCTGTCAACATTTGTCCTACAGAAACAGTTTGTTTTGAAAATTTATAACAATTTCAAATAGATAAATTGCCGGTGCTTTTATATCCTTCATGGAAATTACTGGAGTAACCAAACTGGATGTGCTATCCAAACTCACAGATGATTCATTTTTCATAAAGCGAAAGAATTCCTTTGCCAAAAATATTTGCTCAGGCAACAAATATTGCAGTTGAAAAGGATCAGCACCAACAAAATGAATGAAACCTAAGTAAGGAGGAGTATATTTCAATTTCGTCAAAGTGTCGACAGGATTATGACCATCTTTTTTTTGTACTCCGAGTTCTTTATCTCTGCATTCTTGCAAAAGTTTTCGTAAAACGTCATTTGAGTACAAATTAGGAACATTTACATCTCCTAAGTCAACATTTTCTCTTGCCAAATTTCTTCCGCAATTTGCTGCTCCTTCTTTCAACACTTTTTCTCCTATAACCCCACGTTTTTTGTAGCGAAGTTGCCTTACACATTTCTCATGTTTTACCAATCTTGTGTCTTGACATTTAACTTGCATCCATAAATTTTTAGCATCAGGTTGCGGTTCCTCTTTGCAAATTGCTACTAATTGATTCCCACACTTTTTACTCTTGCATTTTCCTCTCATGTGTACAAAGGGTCGATCAATTCGGTCTCTTGTCACCTTATTGGATTTAAATGAAAAAGCGCAAGGTATTTTATATTGCATCAGCCAGTACATCGGTCCATTCTCCAGGCTTCAATTTTAGGCATTGACTTTTTCCATATTTGACGATGACAGGCTTTATTTGTTCCCACAAATCCTTTTTTATTTCGACGTTAAAAACATTTCCCTCGATAAATTCGGAAAAAATAGGCACTTCAAATTCAGAAGCTTCATCATCTGAATTTTCATCATTAGTCAAGAAAAACATCTTGACGTGATTGACTGTTTTGAGTCTGTCAAACAACTTAATTTTTAAATCTGGTAACCCAGATAAATTAATGGAAAACCTTAAATAAATGCCACTAAATATTGTAACAGTCGAATATGTACATACCGTGAGATTCACTTTTCGTTTCCAAAGCCAAATATAAACTGTACAAAACTAAATCCGGTCAACAATAAATTGTAGGTCTACATAATTATTTTATAAATTGATAATCCAAAAATCTTGACGAATTATTAATCTAAAGAATCAAAATGAAAAACGTTGCAACGCGACAATGGGAATACCAAACATGACATATAAATAAAGCCTCATTTCAATGTATAAACAGAGGGCTGGGAACCTGTATCACAGAATGCTTAACATAGACGGGAGGACCGAGCTTGATAATATGAAGTATGGAGCTGCAATAGTTTATCTTCCGCCAAATTTGAAGTTGGCACCGCCTTTCGGATGTATTTCAGAAGCTTCTTTTACGTTCTAGAATATTTTATAGTTTTGCGAAAGACATTCTTTGGTTTTTCTGTGTCAACCCAGCAAGAAGCGAGGAATTCAAAACAATTGAAAAACTTTAACTTTTCATTGATATTGATGAATTATGAATTTGTTTTTATCCAATTCCTATGTATTCCATGTTGGGACTAAGTTTGCATGAAACTAAATTCTTATCAATTCCGTTTTAATATTTTTCTCATTAATTAATTATTTTGAATTCCAGTATACTGAATTAGCAATTCTGACTAAATATTTCAGTCATATCTGGAAGTCATAGAGAGAAGGTCAGGCAGAAGGTGAGAGAGTAACTTAAAGGCACACTCACAGCTCAATGCTAGCCAGCGCTAGCTGACGGAACGAGTAAAGGAGCTGTTAGTCCCCAGTCTCATGTTGTAGAATATTAGAATAGTGGAACAGATTTGACTCATCAGATGCTTGGATTTTTTGAAACCTTTTTCTGATTGGTCAAATCTGTTCCACTATTCTACCACATGGGACTGCACCCTTATACCTCCTTTTTTTCGATCAGATGAAAAAATTTCTCCATAAAGGTCCTCCTTTTTTTCGATCAGGTGAACAAATTTCTGGGGTCCTATTCTCAAAATCATTCGAATATTGTTCGTATGCGAGTAAATTCGATGGGTAAGTTTCGTGCACGAAGCAACAACCGTATTCTCGAGTACCATTCGAAACTTCGTTCGACGATCGTTCGTAGACGAATAGGTTGTACAGTGTTGCCGTCGTTTATTTCTAGTGACTTTCCAGTGTAATTTTTTTGAACCAATTAAATTACTTATGATATAAGAAATATTTATTGACTGCATCATCATCATCATTATTATTATTATTATTATTATTTTTTTTTTTTGCTTAGGAACTATTGGGAAAATCTGTATACAGATACCTTGGCTTCCGCATGCCAAGGTTATGTGGGGTTGGTAAAAAAAAAGGAGAACAATAAACAAAATAAGCTGGCGAACTACTACCAGCCCCGACCCACTAAAACCCGTCAACCCTTCTTGGGAGCCCTTTTATCCACCCTCGGTACCGTCGTGAAGACTTTTGCCTTCGAGGGTGGCGCTCCAACTCTGTCGCAAAGCGACTTCGTCCATTCCTGCGGAAATCCTGCGTTATCAATTTTAAAACAAAACCAAAATCAATGTCAAGCGGAATCAACAGCACACCATAAAAGAAAACAATAAAAAGTCAATAAATAAAATAAAAGTAAATTAAACAAAGTCAAAGATAAAATTGTAAAAAGACAGATGAACAAACAAAATATAACATAAAGCTGTAAAAAGACTGAAATAAATAAATAAATAAACAGAAAATTGTAAAAAGACTATAAAAGACAAAATAAATAAATAAACAGAAAATTGTAAAAAGACAATAAAAGGACAAAATAAATAATAAAATAAACAAATAAATAAATAAAAACTGTACACTGTCAATTTCGCCTATCTGCGGCCATCGAGATCCTTTCTCATCATAACAGAGATGATAAAGGTCTCGATGAGCCGCCAGTTTTCCTGGGACTGGATCATCAGCGCTACCATGTTCTCCGGTGTAACTGTAGCGTTTACACCGGTGAACATGGCCTGCCTCTCCAAGTCCCATCGACTGCAGGCGAAGAGGGTGTGCTCTGCGTTGTCCACAGGGAACTGGCAGTAAGCACACTCCTCGCTATCTATCTTTTTAAAGCGCTGCATGTAAGAATTAAAACATCCGTGACCTGTCAGCGCTTGTGTCAAGTAGTAGGAGACCTCTCCATGGTTCCTACTTAACCAAGTGGCGAGTGTCGGTATAAAGCGATAAGTCCATCGACCTTTTACCTCCCCGTCCCATCTTTGTTGCCATTTTTCGACGAGCCTGTGCCACGCTTCGAAGCGGATGCGGTCCTTGCTGGGTCGATCTTCCTCTTCAGAGGAATTCGCCTCTTTGAGAAGGAGGATAATTTCCTCCCTCTCAAGCGCCAAAAGATCTGCTGGCGGGACACTTGCAAGGACCTGCACAGCGCTCGTTGATACTGTCCGATAAGCAGAGGCGATACGTGAAGTAATGCACCTCTGCGCGGACAGCATCTTTTTACAGATGGTTGAACATCTGTTTGTTCTCAGGGAGGGGGCCCACGCTGGCGCTGTGTAAAGCAGCTTAGCGTGGGCGACACTCGCCACCAGTCTCCTTTTCTTTTCACGGGGGCCACCAACATTTGGCATCACCCGTGCTAAGTTAGCCGCACATTCGATCGCCTTGTTCGACGCCGTAGCCATGTGGTGATGGAAGTTTAACCTTCCATCCAGTTCCACACCAAGGTATTTTATCTGTCTCCTCCACTTGACCTCGAATTCGTCTATCACGATTCGTGGGAATTTATAACCACGTCTGTCTGTGACTAGCAATGCTTCGGTCTTTTCCAGGGCCATTTGAAGACCTCTGGTTTCCAGCCAGCATTTTGCTAGTCGCAGACATTCGTTCACCAATGTCCCCAGAGCTTCCGCCGAGTCGGCAGTGCACACGATCAACGCGTCGTCCGCAAAGCCGACGATCACCGCACCTTCGGGCAGGTCCATTCTCAGGAAGTCATCGTAAAATACATTCCATAAAAATGGTCCTACCCTCGAGCCTTGAGGGGCCCCACGCTGCATCTCTTCCTTGAGAATGCAGGTGTCTCCCTCGTAAATAACCCACCTGTCGCTTAGATAATTTTCCATTATCCGCAACAGGTAGGGCGGTATACCCTTCTGTATCATCGACTCGATGAGATCTTCCCATCTCGCGGAATTGAACGCGTTCCGTATGTTGATTGCTACCAACGAGCAGAAGCTCTTCTTTTTATCTGGACCCAATTTGTTTTTCCCTTCTCTGGCGAGGTCTACAACTGCCTTTATGGCATCAACTGTGGACCGACCTTTACGAAATCCAAATTGGTTATCGGATAGACTATTCTCTCCGGTCAAGTGAAATTGCATTCTCTGCAGAACCATGTTCTCTAGAAGTTTGCCCATCGTATCCAACAGGCATATAGGCCTGTAGGATGAGACCTTATCTAGAGGTTTGTCTCCCTTTCTTAGGAGGACTAGCCTTTGCCTCTTCCAGTCTGGAAAGAACTCTCCTCTCTCTAGGCAGCGATTGAAGATGTCCAGCAAAATCTGGGGGAAGCAACAATCACCTCTTTTAGGATCTTGTTGCTTATCCCATCGATTCCAGGCGCCTTGCCTGTCCTCAATCTTCTACCTGCTGCTTCCAATTCTTCAAGAGTAAAGAGTTCTTCCTCTATGACTATGCAAGAACTCCAGTCCTTCCTAAGCCACGGCTCTGCAGGAGGAAACAGGGCTTTTATTACCTTTCTGACCCAATCGGAATTGTCCAGGCCGGGGGTCTTTTGCCTCGTTACTAATTTCTTAGTAACGATTTTAAAAGCCAGACCCCATGGGTCCTTCTCGACGTCCTCGATTAGGTCCTTCCAGCTACGGCGTCGCGACGCGCGGATCTCTTTGCTGAGGTTCTTTTTGGCCTCCTTGAATGCTTCCTTGAGCAAAGGATCTCCCTTAGATCGGGTATATGTCCTTCTTGCTCTGAAACATGCCTTTCGCAAGGAGGCCAACCTTTCTGACCACCAGTGCAAGGATCTCTTCTTGGGGAATGTGCCATTGCGACGCGGCATTGACGCATCGCAGGCGGTGACGATTATATTTCTCACCGCCCGCACTTCCCCATCAAGACTGTTCGGCCTCCTTACCCAGCCCAACTCTTGAATTAAGCGGGCTTCTAGAAGGGACTGGCCGAACTTCTCCTTGTCGAGTTTCTTAGTGTTCCACGAGGGGCTTTTTCGACTAGGAGCTTCCTGTCTTCTGCCTCCTCGTGTGTCTCCCACTGAGACTGAGAACTCGATGTACTGGTGATCACTTGCGGTATATTCCTCAGAGACCCGCCTGTCGCTTATGCGGCTAAATATTTTGGAGGATGCGATCGTTAGATCTATAATGGATCCGATCGCATCCCTCCTGAACGTCCATGTCGTTCCCAGGTTTACAACAAGAAAGTTGTTCCTGGAGACCATTTCGCCGATCATTTTTCCTCTTTTATCGAGCCTTGTCTCACCCCACTCTGGCGACTTTGCATTAAAGTCGCCCGTGACGAGGACGTCTCCAGGAATCTGTCAACCCGCAGATCTGGGTTGCACACCTGCACAGCCGCTCTTCCTGTCTTATCCTGGTACCAAGGGGCAAGGTCGTTCTTTCGATGCTGCTCACTGCAGAACAGAACGTCCACCCCTTTTTCCTTGACAGTTTGCATCACAAGAGCTTGTGCCTCCCTGCAGGTGTGCAGGTTGACCTGCAGAAACTTTAAGGGTTTGCCCTCCTAAGCCTCTGCAATTCCTGTTTGTAAACCGGACATGAGGTTTTTCCACCGACATGGTCCGTTGCTGTCTTCCCCAAATCTGTGCACGTTAAGCACTTTGGTTTCTCGACAGTGCAGGTCTTCGCAAGGTGACCTTCCTCGTCGCATCTCCGACAGTTTTTGGTTCTGTCGGGGCCCTTGCAAGCTCGGGTAACGTGACCGTAACCCAAGCATTTAAGGCACCTTGCTACTTCCATATGCTCTCTGATTGGAGCGTTTATCCACCCGATCTGTATTTTACCCAATTTCAGAAGAGAGTCACTCTCCACCTCAGTCAGGCGGATCAGCGCCACCTTTGTACCACTAAAACGTGGTAAAAGGCGGCACGATGCATCCAGGTCCGTCTTCCCGAGCTTCTTCTTCAGGGCTAGAAGTTGTTAAACGTTCTTCTAATTTTCAGGACCTCGGTGCCAGTTTCTTCTGGTTTAACCGAAGTTTTCATCAGCTTTAAGATTTCGGCGTACTCCTCTGGATTTTTCGCCGAAATCTTAACTGCCTCCGTGGTCCTGAGCCTTGAAGTTTTGGGCTCGGGTGCTTTCTTTTTTAAGGCCTTCTTTCTTTTCCTGGCCTCCTGCTTTTTATTAACGACAGCCTGGAAGCCATCGCCATCCGCTGTCCCTGGCCTTGAGGCGACCTCAAGAAACGTTCCAGGACCCCCCTTTGGGGCCGGTTCTCCATTTTTTGCCAGCAATCCAGGGTCAACACAAGCATCCTCCTTTCGCTTGGCACGTTTCTCCACTGGACTGGTAGGCCGGGGATCGGCCTCTGGGCTTCCTCCCTCCCTGGGACGCTTTTTTCCGTCTCGTGACTCAGGCATGGCTGCAGCAAACTGCAACGTCAGCGCAGGCTGTCCAAGATGCGGGTTTGGCGGCTCTGATTTTTTAAAGGGCTCGGGTATAAAACGAAGATTACTTCGAATTATATCGAACGCCTTCCCCAAAGTAGCTATCCCATCCTGAACGCCCTTGCTGACGTTCCTTTGCCTTTTGCATGCCTGACGCATGCTCTCCAAAATTTGCGGCACTATCTCGATTTGGACAGCAACGTTTCTCTCGAAACTGCTGCCAAAAGAGCCATTCATTTTATTTATATCTTGGCCCCCCCCAAAATCCGTGGGGCCTGCACTGACTACCGAGGCTTTCACCCGATCAGAATCAGTGGGAGTATTGTCCCCTTGCGGGGTTCCTCCTGGGGTTAAAACACCAATTTCTGTACTCATTTCATTTAGAGTTTTGGTTTATTTGGTCAGGGAACCACCCTGGCTGCTGGTTGTCCTTTTGTAAAAAGCCCCACCACCACGACAAGGTCTACCAAGAATTTACACGATTCTTGGCAGTGGACAACCATCGGCGGGGATTATTATTATTCCACTCCTAGGGGTTGGTGGACCGTGTCGAGGTGGAGTGGCTTAGGGTCCGGGAGTGCGGGGTTCCGTTACCTACGTACTCTGAAGCGTTTTCTTTCTTGCTCTCCTTCGGGGGTGGGGCCTTTGTGAGGGTATCCCGCTTAATTCGGGCTCTTCCTAGAATGAGGGTTGTACCCGCCCTGGTAGGTGTGTGGGACGTCTCCTGGCCCGGAGCGTTGGACTCATTAAAAAATGAGTCTTTCGACCTGGGTCGGAGACGTATATTCGACAACGAGTTTCGCGGGTCTGCGTGGCTCCCGCACTCCTGGCCTGACCAAGATACAACCCAAAATACAACATATGAACATTTACACTGTAACATAGTCTTACACACGCATGGAAGTCTCACACAAACACACTTTCACACTCACAAACCTCCGCGCACCCTGCCACGCGGGGCAGTACATTGCGGGGTTTTACACGACACTTTTCACTCACACTGTACACACTTACATGCAAAAAACTGGTTTAGGACCTAAGGGAAGGAACCCCAAAAATAAATACAAACTATGGAAATAAATAAAAATAAGGAAAATTCAGTTAGCCTACAGGGGAAGTCGGAAGCCCCAGAGGCGGCGCTTTACCGAAGTGAGCAAGCAGGCTTCGGAGCGTCGAAATCCCATGACTGCAGTACCCCGACAGTGGACCACTTGGCTGGTGGGGTATTTTTTACTACAAGTCACGAACACGAAGATGTTGAGATAGCAATTTCAAAAGCTCTTGTAGAGATGAGGAAAATGCTGGAAGTTATGGTAGAAGCATTAGAAAGCCAACCCAACATAAAGATGATAATCAAACAAGGTCTTCCCACAATGGTTGAAAAGGTAGAACAGGTGGAAGAGTTGATATCTCAACAAAGGATGAAACGAACCAAATCCCAAAACGAAAATTCCGCTACTCGAGATAAGAGGTCAAAACGTACGGCTACAAGCCCGCCACAGACATTAGTACAGTCAGGAAAGAAAAAGAAAAGAGACTCTTCCTCCGATGAATGGGTTACAATCCCTAGTAGAGAAGAGAAGAAAGGTTTAAGAAAAACAAGGATTGTCGAAAAACCACCAGCACCAACAGAGGAACATAAGAAACATCAAATGAAGTTTAAGTCTAAAACGGAAGCCATATTAATAAAACCAAGCGAAGGAAGAACGTACTCGGAAGTAGTAGAAAAGATACGAGGCAGCACGCTGAATCCAGATGAACTGCATATCCAAATAAAGTCTATACGCCAAACTAGAAATGGAGATGTTCTCCTCGAACTAGACAAGAACGTGGAAAAGAAGGCAGAATTCAGCAAAGCCTTAAAGAACACCCTCGGACAAGACGCAGATATCCGCAACCTTACCCCGAAGATAGTAATTGAGATCATAGACCTAGACTGCTGCACTTCACAAGAAGAAGTCTTTTCAGCTCTGAGAAGAGACGTCGAAAATCTCCCTGAAGACACAAAAGTGTTTGTCACTGGAAAAAACAACCGGGAGCAGAGACTAGCGATAGTAACATTAAGTGAGAAGATTGGAATCGAGATACTAAAATCCTCCAGGATCAAGATTGGCTGGACGAATTGCAGAGTTCGACTAAGAACCATAGTGCCACGCTGTTTCAAATGCCTAGGCTATGGACATCAACAGACAGATTGCAACGGCCCAGACAGGAAAGGCGTGTGCCTCCGTTGTGAAGAGAAAGGACATGACAAGAGTAGTTGCAGCAAGGAGCCAAAATGCAACCTGTGCATTGATAGAGAAATTGACAAAGGCCTTACAAATCACTTAGCCGGATCCGGAAAGTGTGTAGTATTTAGAGAAGCTCTTGACAAGGCGAAGAGAAAAGAAAAGTGAAAATTCTTCAAGCAAATCTACACAGAAGCAGGGTGGCTGACGACCTCCTTCTGCAACTCACCATAGAATTGAACATCGACGTAGTACTCATTAGCGAACAGTACACAAACGAAAACAAAGCTTATTGGTATACAGATAACCTTGCAACGGCGGCTATCTGGATCCCAAATAAAAAAGAAATTTCTATAAAAGATAACGGAAACGAAAAGGGCTTCGTATGGGTAAATACCGGAGAAACTACATTGGTAAGCTGTTACTTCACACCAAACGAAAGCCTTGCTGACTTCATGAATAAAATAAACCGCTTAGAAGATTTCATTAGAATGAAGGGTGGAACCTTTGTGATTGGCGGTGACTTTAACGCTAAAGCACCTGATTGGGGTATGCCAAAACTGGACACGAGAGGACTCTGCATCCTAGAAATGGCAGCTAGAACAGGCCTAACGGTCGTGAACCAAGGAAACACTCCTACCTTCAGGCGAATAGGATACGCGGAAACAATCCCAGACATCACACTAGTAAGCGAAGTATTGACAAGAGATATTAAATCATGGAGAGTAATAGAAAACTACACTGGGAGCGATCACCAGTATATCACTTTCACGATCTCTAAAACAAACGGCACTATTGGGAGGAAAAATACATATAAACTTAGCTGGAACATAACCCGTTTAAATGAAGAAAAATTCAAGGCCGCCATCACAGACAGCAGCAATGAATTAGCAATCTTAGAAAAATGGAAGAATGCTGAAGGTACAGCTAAGCACGTAATCAACGCCCTTCATAAGGCCTGTAACGTCTCTATGCCTCGCAGAAGCCAAAACAGGAAAAGAAGGTCAGTATACTGGTGGACAGCAGAAATTGCAAGCCTTAGGAAACATTGCCTACTACTTAGATGACGTTCAATCCGACGTAGAAAGAAACAACCAGGAACATCATTTCAAGAGGAAGCGGATTATAAAGAAGCAAAAAAATGCCTAAAAAACGCTATAAAGAAGAGCAAGAAACTGAAATGGGAAGAGCTTAGAGAAGATGTGAATAATAACCCATGGGACCTGGGTTATAAAGTAATCATGAAAAAGCTGAGGGCAAAGACCAACAATGTAGATGTAAACACCAAAGAAACAAGAAATATCATCACCTCTTTGTTTCCCATCCACCCAGAAAGACCACAAGACGAAAACCTGGATATCTCAGACGAAGATATCCCCCTCTTTGGACTGGAAGAATTGACGAAGGCAGCGGCATCTCTTCAAAACAAGAAGGCACCAGGACCTGACGGAATTGCAGCTGAAATATTAAAGCTAGTAACTAGGCTATGTCCAGAAATCCTCTTAAAACTATATAACAAGTGCTTAGCAGAAGGTATCTTCCCTAGAAAATGGAAAATACAACGCCTAATTCTAATCAGTAAAGGAAAGGGAGACCCAA